GGCTGTAGGAGTTCCTCTACTTCCACCAGCATTACCAAATTCCTATTCCCCCATTCAAAGAGCCATTACAATAGCAAAACTCAGTTGCAAAATATGTATCATGACCATGGTATCACCACTTAGTTCACCAACTCCTCACAGCCCTCCCCTAAATAATAACAAATATGTATTTCTATGTACCTGGTATGAAGAAACTTCCATATACACCTTTGGAAAAGCTCTCCCAGTCTCACAGAGACACTAAAACACCCTCAGTGTGAAGTGTGGCCAAAGTCCACATCTAAAATCTGGCTAGTTATGATCTGCCCTGTCATGACACGCAACAAAAACTCACCAGTAACAAGGAAAAATACAGGAACACCCAACTGGTGTGGCACAAAGTAACATTGGATTTGTTTGGGGGTTCGTTTTTTGTTTGCTTCTTGTTGTTTTTTTTAAACTAATGCAGGTGTAGGCACCCACCCTACACAGTGCAGTGGAGTCCCCATCCCTGGAGGTGTCCAAGGCATGCCTGGACATGGCACTCAGTGCTCTGGGCTGGGTGACAAGGTGAGGATTGGGCACAGGGTGGACTCGATGGTCTGGGAAGTCTTTTCCAGCCTTAAGTCCAACCTGTGCCCGATCCCCACCTTGTCACCCAGCCCAGAACGCTGAGAACCATGTCCAGGTGCTCCTTGTAAGGAGCATCTCCAGGGATGGGGACTCCACCACCTCTCTGAGCAGCTCTATCCAGTGCCTGACCACCCTTTCCATGCAGAAATTTTCCAGATGTCCAACCTGACCCTCCCCTGGCCCAGCTTGAGGCTCTTTCCTCTCATCCTGTCCCTTTTTCCCTGGGAACAGAGCCTGACCCCCCATCCCGGCTCCCCCCTCCTGTCAGGGGGTTGCAGAGAGGGAGAAGGTCCCCCCTGAGCCTCCTTTTCTCCAGGCTGAGCTCCCCCAGCTCCCTCAGCTGCAGTTCACAGGATTTATATTCCAGACTCTTCCAGCTCCATTCCCTTCCCTGGACATGCTCCAGCCCCTCAATGTCTTTCCTGCAGTGAGGGGACAGAACTGGACACAGGATTCATGAAGCTGTCCAAGGACAGGAGCACTTTGCCTACAAGGCAGAGACCCTTACTGATTACAGCAAGGGCACAACTATCCATGTTCTCATTAGGAGTAGCAAAGTAGGGACCCCATCCTGAAAATTAACAGGATCTCAACAGGGCTCACAAGCCCCGTAACTGGCAAGTTCTCCTTCTACATCCGACCATCCAAGGGTACTATTTCTTTACTTCACCATTCATTAAAAAAAAGGGGAAAAAAGAGGGATTAAACTATCATAGTAATGGTCTAATTCCCCCATATAGGCACAAACCTTTGGACACAAAGGCATTTTAAATACAGTATTTATAGTAAGACCACAATGGCACCAGTTCTACCTCTCACTGCAGTTCTCAGCTCAAAGGCAAAGGGTCAAAAAACAGCAGAAGTCATGAGGATTTGGAAGCTACTACCACCACTTTATGCCATCTCAGAAGCTCTGTTCAGGCTCACAGAGTTGCCAAAGCAGCTCATTACATCTCATTAAGGAAGAACACCAAAATTACAATTTTCACATCACACTAAAAGCAGGAAACGCGAGACTGAGCAGCCACACTCCGGAGCCACTGGTGCCACCGAGGGGACACAGCAGACATGAGAAGTCCTGGGACTCCAACAGCCTCTGATGTCCCCTCTAAGGAAGCCATACATCCACAGGGTCCCCTCAACACAACCATAAGCATCCCCCCGGCTCAGGGAGGGAGATGAAAGGCAGGATTGAGAGGAAGGAGAAGGACATGCAGCATCAGGAGCGGGGAAAACCTTCTCCAATTAAGCTGATGGTTTTCCTGTTTCGTAGGGCTCCCCATATGTTAATCTAATAACCATATTATCCCATTATACCCACACCCAGCCCTCGTGCAGCCTCCCCTGAACTCTCTCAGGAAGCGGAGCTGAGTCACGCTCACAAGTGCCTGCTGAGATAATGCCTCTGTACAACACCAAATTCACTTCATTTGAGTGCAGGAAATCCAGCAGCACCACAGACCCCACTGTGCCAGGGCAAAGGGCTGGGCAGGAGGAGCCTTCCCTAACACACCTGTGTCCTACCACTGTCTCATCACAGATTGTTGCCTTAATTTATTCCAGCTGCAGATGTTCAGGACTGGATATGTTAAAAATCCTCAGTGGTGCACAGAAATATACCATCCAAAATGAGGGGGTAAAGTATATATATTTATGACATGAACATGTGTGTATTTCATATATAAACATCTCTTTGTATATAAACACACATATATAAACATCTCTTTAAATATAAACATCTCTCTATATATGCCCACAGTTCTGAGCTCCCACGATTGCGACACAAGTAACAATCACAACAGAACACACCTTCCTGCTATTTCTGGTTTAGGGAAGCGTGCACACTGAATGCCAGAACTGTTGGGGTTGGAAGGGACCTCTGGAGATCATCCAGTTCAACCCCCCTGCCAAGGTAGGGTCACCCAGAGCAGGTGACACCAGAACACATCCACGTGGGGTTGGAATATCTCCAGAGAGGGAGACTCCACAGCCTCCCTGGGCAGCTGTTCCAATGCTCTGCCACCCTCCATGCAAAGAAGTTCTTCCTCATGTTGAGGTAGGACTTCTTTTGTTTTAGTTTATGGTCATTGCTCCTCATCCCATCACTGCACATCACTAAAAAGAGAGTCTGACACCATCCTCTGACACCCCTTGGACATATTTATACGGACTGATAAGATCCACACAGAATACATTATATATCACTAAGATGGCAGTTCAATTAACAATACTCTTTGGGAACATGAAGATGTTTCTGTTTCACTATCAGACAATACTGAGTCAACCTCAGTCTGCAGGATTGGTCAGGGCAAATAGTAAGAAAAATATTCTTATGTTAGAACTTTTGGTCTAACAGTGCCTTCTGCAATTCTGTTTGGGACTGTGTAACTGTGGCATCAATTCTCCACAACCTCCAATTTCACAAGCAGCAAAAAATAAAACATCAGAGGACTCGTGGTGTACACAGGTGCCCTTTTTTAAGAACACAAACTTATACAACCAAACACATAAAACCAAACTGAATATTCATTCTCCTCGGGAGGAAGCCCAGCGACACCAAAAGGAAGCTATCCCTCCCAAAACAGCCCAGTGAATTGACAAGTTCGATTAACTCTAAATCCAATTTTATCTCCTTGCAATGCAACTTTCAACTCTCACACCCCTGTGATTCAGTAGAGAAATGGCCCAGTTTGGGGAGGACAGTCCCTCTCATCTTATTTGCAGGAAAAAGAAAACAAACTATGAAAGAAAAACAATCCTATTACAAACCCACGACAAACTTCTCTGGACACAAACAAAATATACCAACTAAGCACCAGCTGAGCACATCGTCTTGTGCGTTTCCAAACTGGGAAATGTGATTTTTTTTATTCTTAAATTACAGTTAAGTCTAGTTCTCTTACTATACAATCTCCAACGGTGAAGATCCGTATTTACCTAAAGCATATTTTAAATTACTCAGTGTATTCCACACTTCTTTCTCTCTCATCCTTTCAAAGTCACTCCCAAGACACGGATTCCTGGAAAGCCAGGTGTGGGCAGTGGCCTCCACCACAGCAGCAGACACGAGTTCGTGCAGAAGAGGAACTTGCTTTCGAGTGTCACTGGTTTGTAACAACTTCTACTACATGACAATTTATCATCCCAAACACCCATCCCACAGCACGAGGAGGTAATCTGGGAACCTAATGAGCGACTGCCACCAGCAATACTTTTGCTTCCATACAGTTGTCCTGCATCCTCAGCACTGAAATTACTCCTGGGTCTCACACAGTGCAACTGGGGTTTGCTAATAATTTAAAAGCTGTGCCATGTTTTCTTGGGACATACACACAAAATTTAAAATTCATTCCTATAATTCACGTGGGCTCTCCTTAGACCCAGAAACTCCCCTTTTCCTGCTCACTTTGTTTATACAAGGCTTATCTGTAGGTTTACGCGAAAAGTTTTTCTTCACAATCAATCCAGTCCAAGAACTGTGGTGGACACTGAATTTCGCCTCTCCAATTTGAACAGTCAGATTTATTATTTCCTTCCCCAAGACAAACGCTCATTCATGCCACTAAAGTTTTCTTCTCCGCAATCCCTAAAAAAAAAAAAAAAAAAAAAAAAAAAACCCAAAAAAACCAAACTCTTTTGCTCGAAATCGAACGTCTTTAAACTCAAGACGGGCCCTCTTGGCACAGCCCTGCCCAAACCCACGGGGCTTTGGTGCTGTTTAATTAGAGCGGAGATGTTTTAACCACCAGCTGGGAACAATCCCCCTCTGTTTGGGAGCGACGGAAGGAGCGGAGAACGAAATGGATCCGCGGAGAGCAGCGCGCAGGGAAACCCCTCATCTGCATGAACATCACACTCCCCGCAGAGCCAGAGCCCTGTCCCTGGGAGCCTCAAAACCTCCAAAAGAGGGACAGGGCACAGGGTGGGCTCCCAGCGGCCACCAAGGATCCAGCCTGGGAAGCGTATCCTGCCCTGCTCCCACCAGCGAGGTGGGAAAGAAACCGACGTGGAAACAACTCCCAAGCCTTTTCTACTCCGAGCAGCGCTCGGGAAGAGGCAGCAACAGCGGAGCGAAGGGAAAGGCAACTTTTCCAGCTAGAGCGCTGCTCGCTCCCAGACAACTCCTAAAAGTTCCTGGGAGCGAGTCCCGGCAGGCGGGGGGCGCACGGAGCGCGCCGGGGGGGGGGTCCCGGGAACATCGGGAACGCCGGGAACACGGGGGTCACCGCGCTCCATCCCGGCCCCGGAGGGGAGGATCCATCCCTGCCGCTTCCAGGGGAGCGCAGCGGGGAAGCCGGGCAGGGATGGGATGGGACGGGATGGGGGGAGGCCCGGGCCGGGGGTCCCCCCGCGGGGCACCAGGCGGGCTGGGGGCGGTGTGTCCTCACCTACGCCGTACTTCTCCTCCCTTTTGGTGGGCACCCAGCGGGTCATGGCGCTGGGAGCCGCCGGCGCCGGGATGCGAGAGCCCCGCTCCCTACGCCGCCATTTTCCAACCGCGGGACGGGAAAAGTTTCTCGGATCATGTGGTGCGGGCGGAGCCGGAGCCCGGCCGGCCGCCCCTTCCCTCCGGGCCGCCCGCCCTCCGCATCCCGCCCGCGCCCGGGGATGCGGGAGCGCTCCCGGGGGACGCTCGGGAACCAGCCCCGCGCCTCCCACCGACGGGAAAACACGGCCGGCTCCCGCACAAAGGACAGCGGGACGGGGAGGTGCCTCCCTGATTGTATTCCAGGTGCACCTGGTGGTGCTCCGACGGAAAGTTTCGGTGCCTGCGCAAAAAGTGTTTCCTTCGCAGCGGTGCGGCGTTAAAACGGGGTTTCTGCGGGTGTTTCGCGGTTGTGGCGGACTCTGCGTCTGGGACCTGGACGGGTTCGAGAAGTGGGTCTGTAAGAACGTCGTGAGGTTTAACAATGCCAGGTGCTGGTGCACCGGCGTCGGGACAACCCCCCTGTGTCGATGCCAGCTGGGGATGAACTGATGGAGCAGCCCTGGGAGAAGGGCTTGGGGGAGCCGGTGGGTGAGAGGCTGGACAGGATCCAGCCCAGAACCCCCCACGTGTCCTGGGCTGATCCCACAGCCTGGGCAGCAGGGGAGGGGAGGATTCTGCCCCTCTCAGGTGAGACCCCACCTGCAGAGGTGCCTCCAGCTCTGGGGGTCCACCAGAAGGATGTGGAGCTGCTGGAGCGAGTCCAGAGGAAGCCACGGAGATGCTCCAAGAGCTGGAGCAGCTCTGCTCTGGAGCCAGGCTGGGAGAGCTGGGGGGGTTCACCTGGAGAAGAGAAGCTCTAGGGAGACCTGAGAGCCCCTTCCAGTGCCTAAAGGGGCTCCATGAGAGCTGGAGAGGGACTTGGGAAAAGGGCCTGGAGAGACAGGACAAGGGGGAATGGCTTCCTACTGCCAGAGGGCAGGGCTAGATGGGATATTGGGAAGGAATTGTTGGCTGTGACGGTGGGGATGCCCTGGCACAGGTTGCCCAGAGAAGCTGTGACCAAGGCCAGGTTGGAGCAACCTGGGCTAGTGGAAGGTGTCCCTGCCCATGGCAGGGGGTGGAACAATATGGTGTTGAAGGTCCTTTTTAACCCAAATCATTGGATGTTGAGCACACCTTTCGGAGCAAATCCTTCCTGTGCTGTAAAAATTATAAGCCTTCTGATTTCTAGACCTAAATCCAAAGCCTTGTCGGAAACCCCTGTAATCTTGGAGAGATCCAGGACCGTGATTTAAAAACAAAATTTTTTAAAAAGCCTTTAGGAAATAGAAAATAAACTTTCAACAAAAGCAGAAGGATAACACTTAAGGGAAATAAGGAGAGAGGAAATGTCTGACTGGCTGTAATTTGGTAGGATTGGTTCTCAGCCAAAGGGGAAGCTCTGTACCACAAAGTTAAGGATTAAAATAGGTCCGGGGTTGAATCTTTTATCTCTCGTGTTCTTTTGTTGGGATGGCAAAGGGCCAGTTTCTGCAACAGCTCTCTTTACTGTCAGGTTTTGAGATCAAGTATTCTCTCAAACACCTGAAGGAGTCTACTCCTCTTTTCATGTAGCTTTCCTTTGCCAATCTTTGGGATTAGTTTCCCAGATCATCCTCTACATGTTCAAACTAATCTAAATTTCATTGCCCCTGTCCTGCAGAATCCAAAGGCCACTGGGAGAGAGCAAACTCCTGCACCTTCATTCATTCTGCCTGGGAGTGAGGAGATCAAAAGGTTTTCGAAGTCGTGGCTCATCATCTTTATCCTTTGCTGATGGAGAAATGATTAGAGCCTTACCAAAGGCAACTTACAAGTGAGCTCTTTGATTTCACAGGTTTATTTTTGTAAGGGAAATCAAAGTGAATTAACTGAGACAATGGATGTACTTGCTCTGTGCCTATAGTCACCTTTGCTTTTCCACACAAGACAAAGTGGAATGGAAAAGCAGTGCAGCAATAATATTTATTTCCAACACTTAATGTTTCCCACTTTTATACAACCGGTGCATTATTTTTTGTGGTGCTCCTAAATATGTGCAGCAAAGGTGTAGAAGCTGCTCAGGCATTAGATGGTTTAGAGACTTCTAAGGCTGTTAATGTAACAATCTGTAAATCAGGGAAGCTGATTGACTTTTCATTTAGATTCCTGATAACCGGGAATCACTTCCCTGGAACTGCAGTGGCTTTGGGGGTGTGAGCAGGGGATACAAAGCAGCACACTGATGTTAATTGAGCCTTGCAGATAGCTGTAATTAGTTAATAAATGAGCTGTTGCTCATTTCTCCTTTCTGGGCCTCAAATCTGGAAGTCAAACTGTGGTATTTGTTTCCATTTTGAGGGAGGCTAAGGGAGCGTGTTTATCCTTCCTGAAGAATGTGCTGCTGCCAACCTTTCTTGGGGTGTTAACCAGGGGTTAAATTAATTCTCATATAGATTGCCACTCCTTAGTCTCAGTTTACATTTATACCTGTACTAAGTGGGACCTGAAGATTAAGTGCATGCCTTTGGCAGGAAACACCAGATTCAATCAAATGAAAGCTAAAAAATTATTTACATATTCTACATATTAAGTCCATACAATCCATACAACAGCAAAATTTATTTTGATGTCAGTGAAAAAAGAGGTTTGTCCTGTTGTCTGATGATGATGTGTAACAAATACAACACAACTGATCCCAAGACCACCATAAAGCCTCGCTGATGTTGATGAGGGTCCATATTCATTTTATTGCTTCCCACATTTTCATTTTAATGAAAACCTGTTACAAATAGAGCTAATGCCACTAAAATTTTGATAGCCAGTAAAAAAATACTCCTAATTCACCAAGCATAAATATCCCAATGCTGTTTTTTTTACAGCTAGGAAAAAATGGTAATGGGCTAGGACTGTAATAGTGAGAAAATAAAAGAGTTTTATTTTTCTCTTGCAAACATAATATAAGCTATCCTGAAAAACATTTTTCATTAAACAGTAAAATGTTCAAGCTGACATATTTTACATGCTTAGGCAGGATATGATTCTTCACACTGTGCATGTATGGTTTTCATTTACTAAGAGGAAACCAAAAAATGCTTCTTTCCATAAAATCTGAAAGTTTTATCACATCCTTATGTCAACTCCTTGGATTCTCACCTTATTTTTTCAATGCATCACACTGCATTGGAGGCACTTCTCTTGGAGCACAGAAACATTCCTTTTCATAACCTTAATTCCAGGAAATCCAAATGCAGTATTTGGCCATGGATGATATTTGAAATTCTTGTCGCAGTATCTTTTCAAAAGGATGAATGGAAACAGAACTGTTACCCTGCCTGAGACAGATTTGCAATAAATAACAGATACTCCATAAATGTACAGATATGATCAAGATTAGTTTCATAGTTATTGCATATGATTACACAAGGGGAATGTTTGTTCCATCTCAGTTAAATAGCACAGGTTTTTGTAATAATAATATTTTTCATCATCAGGCCTTGTAAGTAAATACAACATTCTCAGTCAAAACATATAAGTAGTTATTGTGCACACACAATGCAAATTCTTCTTGGAAATATTCCTCCCAGGAGATGTGGAGAACTTACAAAAACTTTAATAAATAACTGTTTGGCTTTTCTATTTCTATTAAATATATTGTGTTGAAGATGTTATTGCTTCCAAGCAGCTGCTCATCATCTAGTTTTGCTGTACAATTTCCATTTGGGGTGAATGACCTCTGTGCTCTCTAGATCATTTCTCTGATGAAAACTGCCTGTGTTCCATGTCTGGGTATTCACAAAGCAAGAGGGTTCTGTACCTGATGGAAAGACAAGTTTAATAAATACTCTGGTTTTTACAATATATTGCTCTGAGTCAGAATGGAAATAAAATTAAGTTTATAAGTTTGTGTTACAAAAATTACTTCAGCCATGGTTTTACATATACCTGATATATCTATGATTTTGAGGATGTCTTACAGATGCATTTGGGCCATTTTCAGGGGAATTAAGAAGACAAAACTGCATTTCCTTTGACATTACTGTTGGCTTCAGTCAGCCAAGGTGTGGCATTTATAAACCTGGACAAAGTTGGATGATAGAGGGAAATTTTGTGCTCTCCCAGGCCTTGCCCATGTGTTTTTGAGGATGCTCAGTGATCTTTGCTCTTCCTTTCACTTCTATAGAAGCATTTTGATTACCTGTGGATATGTGTTAAGCTTTTCTTCCAAGAGGGTAATGACATTTGTGATAACCAACTTCCTGTGCCAGCAGAAGTGTTCCAAGGCAGCATTTGAATTTATTTAGCTACTGTGACATATATTGCATTGATTGCACTGGTTTGGGATCTCTCAGATGGGTTAAAGAGCATCTCTCCTTCCATCCTGCTGACTCAATCCACAGTTACTTCCTTCTTGCATTTGAATTTTTATATCCAGAGATTATGGGGCTGTCAGGAATTTAAAGGATAAGTAATTATTCCTTCAGAGAGAAGGTAAAGATGCTCAGTTCAGAAAGGAGATAAAGATACTAATTTATTAAGTAATATTTTTTTATTAAACTGTTTATGTTTCAGCCTAAAAAATGGGGCTTGGCTGTACATAAAGAAAATGATTCTTTCCTAAGTTATGTTCCTTCAGACTGTGCTATACTGAAAGTGATTTAATAAACAAGTTTTCTTCAGTGGGTTGGGTGTTTAAATGCAAATGTGTGAACATCTCTAGGTGCTCTTTACAAATACACAGGAGTTTCCAAAGCAATGTGTTTCTGGAAGGATGTGATTATTATAGATACAGCTTAGTTTATACCCTGGCATTTCATCTTGTGCTCTATAATGAAGAGAGTTTTACAGTGCTACAATAAATGTAAGTGGCTTCATTTCTACAAAAGGGGAAAATCTGTTTTCTGATCATGGCAGAATGTAAGATTTTACATTCTCCAGGGAAAAGTGCAGTGAGATTTTATGGGGAGGGGGCAGTCACTATCACTGTGTGCTCTGCACAAATGCCATTTACAGGAAGAGTAGATCTCCTTCTGTCAA